AGCTTCTGAGGATCAGCAGGAAACAGAAACGATTCTTCACTTTACAGAGATCATGACCATAAGCTGCAGAGAGAAGAAAGATGCAGAGATCAGATCAGTGAGTGTTTCCAGCTTCTCTCCAGCAGCAGTCAGTGACGCAGCACATCCAGTAGAAAGAGCAGCAGGGCCTTCAGTCCTGTTCAGAGAGCTTTACTGGGAACACTGGATCTTTGCTTTGATGCTAACTGGTTTAGTTCAAACATTTACTTACTTTACATTCTTTACCAAACGCTTCAGCTGCTGAACATCAGAATCTTTCAGGTCATCGTTCAAGCTCAGATCCAGTTCAGTCAGATGTGAGGGGTTAAGGTTCAGAGCTGAGGCCAGAGAAGAACAGCTGATCTCTGACAAACTGCACCACCCCAACCTGAATAAAGAATAAAAGATGTGAGCTGAAGCCAACAGGATGCAGGTTAACCAGTCCAACAGAACCAGTTAAAGAGTCTCATGACTATTAATGCCAACAAGCTGCTGCTTCAATAAAGACCTGCTGACTTCAGCTCTTAAACTCTGTCAGCTCCACCAGCAGCTCCATCACTACAAACTCAGCTTCTGCAGCAAATCAGTCAAGTTTCACACAAACTAACAATCAGGAGGAAAAATCTGGTAAACAATGTTATCAAGGATAAGAAGGGTGGATATCTGATAGTTCAGGGCTCTTTACTATCGGAAAAAATTAACCTGGTTAATGTCTACGGTCCTAACACGAATGATTCAGGGCTTTTTCAGGACTTGTTCCTCTCACTTTCATCGCTGCAGGGGCGCTTTGTGATCGCAGGGGATTTTAATTGTACCCTTATTCCAGAAATGGATAGATCCACTGGGTCAGATCTGACACACAGTAACTGGAGAACAACTATACAGATGTTTATGAAAGCTCTTAGACTGGTAGACATCTTTAGGGAGCTTCATCAACAAACCAGAACCTACTCATGTTATTCAGCAACATTTCAGACTTACTCGCGGATAGATTATTTTTAAATTTCATCAGAACTAATATCCAAAATTCAAAACTGTATGTATCTCTGTGTTGTCTGAGCTACTGTGATGAAAACCTAACCAGAAACTCCCAGATTGAGCTTTCAGCATAAATGGCTGCAGGATGAGGATTTTGTTAAATATATTGACGAGTTCTTTCAGTTGAACACAAATCAAACAACAGCATGCACCAGATGGGATGCCTTTAAAACATTTATTAGAGGTCATATTATTAGTTTGACAGGCAATAAGTCCAAGGAAGCCAAGACTAAAAGGCAGCATCTAGAAAATAAAATAAAGGTCATTCAGGAGAGGGTTTGTCAAACAAATGATACCGAGTTGAAAAAAACAACTGTTGATCCTCAGAGCAGAATATGAGAAAATGTCCAGTTTCAGAGCTGCATCCAGTCTCTTAAGATTGAAACTAAACTTTTACGAACAGGGAGACAAAGCTGGAAAACTTCTAGCTTGGCAGATTAAACAGGTTGAAGCAACAACCTCGATCACATCAACTGAAACACAGGATAAAACTCTAATAGATCCAAGGGATATTAATAATGCTTTTAAAGATTATCAGAAATTATACGATACTCAAGGAAATTTAGACCAAGTGGAAGTAGATCAGTTTTTGAGTGGGCTACATATCGCTGTCATTGCAGATGATTGTAGAGTAGACTTAAATATAGAATAAATAAAGAGGAATTAGCACAGGCCATTAATGGCATGAAATCTGGTAAGCAAGCAGGACCTGACGGTATCCCCATCAACCTTTGTAAAACATTTAAGGATAAATTGCTCTCTCCCCTTCTAGATATGTTTATGGAGTCATTTAAAATGGCACCCTGCCTCCTCCCTCTTTGAATCAGGCTCTAATTATTCTGCTGCCAAAACCGAGTGTGAAAACATGAGACCCATCAGTTTACTCAACTCTGAGCTCAAAATCATCTGTAAACTATTGGCAATACGGTTGCAAAGAATTCTACCAGGCATAATAAATAAGGATCAAAATGGGTTTATAGCTAAGAGGCAAGGATATCACAATATTAGAAGGTCCTGAATATTATTTGGTTTAAAAAGAACGCTGATGATGCAGCTCTTCTTTCATTGGACGCGGAGAAGGCTTTTGATAGGGCCATTCGACCCTATCTTCTTAACATATTGGAAAGGCTGAAATGTGGAAGTAACTTTATTAAATGGGTTAAAATATTATATAATAATCCAACTGCAGAAATGGTATCAAACAAAAATATTTTCAAGGCCGATTCAAATCAGGAAAGTTTGTTGCCAGGGATGCCCTCTCTCTCCCTTACTATTCACACTGGCAACTGAGCCATTGGCATCAGCTATTCGCCTCCATCCACGAATCTCCGGGATCCCAGAGCACAAAATGTCTCTATTCGCCGACGATGTTATTTTATTTCTAACAGATCTGAAAAAGTCAATTCTGGTGGTGATGGAAGTGATCCAGGAATTTGGGAGAGTCTCGGGTTACAAAGTAAATAATATAAAATCTTCCTTTCTGGTATGAAATGTAGATGAAAGGACTAATCCCATCAGTGAGGTTAAGCAATTTAAAGCGGTGGAACATTTTGAATATTTGGGTGTTCAGATTTTCCCAGAACTACAACAGGTGGTCAAATCCAATTACAAACACCTAATGAAAACAATAGCTGCCTCAACTGACAGCTGGACATCCCTGCCTGTATCCATACTGGGAAGAGTTAATGTCCTGAAAATGAGTTTACTACCAAAGCTATTATACCTCTTTCAAAGCATTCCCCTGCCGCCTCCTCCTGAATTATTCATTTGGCTGAAAAAACCATTCTAGGATTTATGTGGAACAACGGCAGGTCTAGCCTACACCTCTCTTTGCTTTATTCACCATTTAACAGAGGGGGGTTAAAGGGCCACAACTTTAAATTTGACTATTGGGCCACACAATTAAGAACTATCATGTTTTATTTTGCAGATAAAGATAATCCTCACTGGGTAGAAATGGAGTCCAATAATCTAAGTTTAGCTCTTCCATTATTCATATACTCCGACATTTAAAGAAGTTATAGAAACGTACTACAAATCCCATTCTGAAAAACATGATTAAAATCTGGCAGGATGTTAGAAAATACCTCGCGGAGCCAAACAGCAGGTCCCAATTTAGTCCAATATGGGGTAATCAGCTGTTTGCTCCAGGTAGGGCAGATGGAACATTTAGGCTCTGGGCATCGCAAGGCTTTAAATGTATTGGCGACCTTTATCAAATTCTGATATATTTTTGTCATTTGGAGAGCTACAAACCAAATTCAAGCTAGATAAAAAGCATCATTTCAAATTCCTTCAGCTGAGAAGCTTTGTTAAACCAAATCACAGTGATCTTAACAAGCCTCCCCTTACATTGCTTGAAAAATTAATGACTGGGAATAAATCAAGAAAGGGCATAATTTCAGACTTTTATAATGTGCTGATCTCTAACTCATTAGAGAACTCAAATAAGCTTATAAACTGGAATTTGGACCCATCATCAAATATCAGTGAACAGGATTGGGAAAGGGCTTGCATTAAAACTCACAATGTCCATAAACAGCCGTCTTAGTATTCTACAATTTAAATGGCTAATGCGTGTTTATGTTACGCCTGTGCATTTAAATAAATACGATAATAACATCCCAGATATTTACGTAAAGTGTAATTCTAAAGGGACTCTAATACACTGCATGTGGGAATGCAGACAAATCAATGCATTTTAGACAGAGGTGAAAGATATAATTGAAAAAAATCTCTTAAGCAAATTTCACTGGATCCTAAATTATTCCTGTTAGCTTTGTACCCTGAGAAGCAGAACTTTAGTAAATCAGAATGAACTTTTATAGATATAAGCTCATTAGCTGCAAAAAATGTGTTGCTTTGGCTTGGAATAATGTCAGCAGATCTAGAGCCTCGCAGTAGTTAAAGCAGATGTCGTCTAATTTGTCGCTAGAAAGAAGAACATATTTTAGGAAATCCAAACAGAATCTTTTTGAGAGGATTTGGGGCCTTTCATTAATTTTATTAAGGACTCAGAGGGTTTGCTTGAGTTTTGATTTGCCAGAACCTGCAGTGTACCAGGCTGTATAGATGTGTATATTTATATCTAACCAGTTTGTAATCTGCTGGAATATCCCTGTTATTGAGAAGCTGTTTCTTTTTTCTCCCATGTCTGTCTTTTATCTTCTTTCTTTGTTTTCCATTTCTCTGAGTTGAGAAAGAATAATTATCGTCATGTAATAACTACAAAGAAAACTTGTTCAGATAGTTACATGATTGTATTTCGAAAGTGGAAAATCTCAATAAAAATATTTTGGTTAAAATGAAAATAACTGAGGCAAACACACATTAAAAATAATAAAACTATTATTATTATAATAAATCAATCCTGACAATGAGGGGATTTCTACGCACTGGGGGTCCGAATGTCATCTGGTTCTGACCTCAAAATAACAGTGAATCCCTATTTTAAAGAGATTAAAAACAATAAATGGCTAATCTGTATTTTATTTCCTTCCATGTTCCTCTTTAGCAGCAATTTTTCCTATTAAAAAGAAGCTTTAATTTACCAAAGCAGAGAGGAATAAAAGTCTTTACCATGAAGATCCTCAGAGTGGATCAGTAGAATATCAGCCAGACGTCTGCAGTTTAGTGGCAATAAAACTTTCACATCACAAACATCAGCAATAAACTAAAACATGGTAACTTACCGTAATACATGTAGTTTACATTCTGGATTCTGGAGGAAACCACAGAGATCCTTCACTCCAGAATCTTTCAGGCTGTTGTTGCTCAGGTCCAGTTCAGTCAGATGTGAGGGGTTAAAGGTCAGAGCTGAGGCCAGAGAAGAACAGCTGATCTCTGACAACCTGCAGTTCCCCAACCTGAATAAAGAATAAAAGATGTGAGCTGAAGCCAACAGGATGCAGGTTAACCAGTCCAACAGAACCAGTTAAAGAGTCTCATGACTATTAATGCCAACAAGCTGCTGCTTCAATAAAGACCTGCTGACTTCAGCTCTTAAACTCTGTCAGCTCCACCAGCAGCTCCATCACTACAAACTCAGCTTCTGCAGCAAATCAGTCAAGTTTCACACAAACTAACAATCAGGAGGAAATATGAAGCATCAGTGATTATTGATTATACTGTCAGATTCCAGGACCTGGAATTAAACATTAAAAACATTCTAGTCAGGAATTTTTCTTTTTTTCTAAAAACAAAACAAAAACAATCAGTGAATTTCTAGATGGCGCTGCAGATGCAGCCTCGACTCTTATGTGTTTTCCTGTTTTCTCCCTGCAGCCTCTTCTCCATGACAGCAGCTCTGAACCATCAGGACTGATCTCTGGTCAGTTTCTCTGATCCAAACAACAACAAAAATGAAAACAAATTTATTTTCCAATACAAGATCAAAATGGTCTCACACTGCAGAAAGCTTTCGTTTGAGGCTGCTCCATAGTTGACGCTGTACCGTAAAAGATCAAGAATTCGTTTGGCAAATGCTTTTGACAGATTGACAGATTTGCTTCCTTATGAACACAGTTTGGCGCGTTAATGTAATTTCAAAACAGTTCCTGTATCGGTCACGTGACTTGCTGAAACCAATACGCGCACCGACACGGGTTTTGGTCTATGGGCTTGACACATGTGCCAAAGCATCAGTGTTGCCGGACCCATCACTAGATATTGTTTATTTACCTGAATATTTAAGTTTTACCGTTAATTAATAGCCTGTTTATTCATGTGCGCATTTAAGAGCTACACAACGTGGGTTTTTTGTGTCATGTTTATTTAGAACGGAATGTTTGTGTAACCTTCATTATTGTATTTAGTTTAGTAAGTGTGATATTATTTCAGTCGTTTATTATTCAGACACTGATGCCATTTATTTTTTATATTTTCTACAACCACACAGTACATCAAATAAAGACTGAACAGCAAGAGCAGATGTGCGACTGGTTTCTTTGGGGTTCTGACCGTTTCATCACAGTGATCTAGCATTTCCATCAGCAAGTTACAGTCCTATCTTTTACTATCCAACCATCTATCTATCCATCAATCTTTATCCTGTTAACATCCTTGGTGACAAACATGTTGGGATATTTCAGCCTGACCTTCAGCTTCTCTGCTGGGATTAAAATCTCTAGAACTGCTGCTGATCAGCTGAGAAAAGAATGAAGAACTTTATTATCTCTGCTGCTTCATCAAAGTTACTCTCAGGACACAAACAACCACTGTAGAGGTCAGAAATCCGAGTCTTGAAAAACGGATTTTACTCTGATCTGTGTTGCTGCTTTTTAACCAATTGAGTTCATTTGAAACAATATATGTTTCTGTTGCTCTAATACTTAGTATTTCAGTGATTCTTGAGAATAGGGACAAAATAGGTTTTAATTTTCCCATATTTTTTTT